CGTTTTCACGTCCACCGGCCTAGATAAAAACAAGGGTCCAGATTTTAACTCGTGGGCAATATGACATGCATTTGTGTGGTAGATCAATAACTTTATTGATAGCGACTTCAAATGGCATAAAACCATATAAGCGATCCTCCAGTCTCTGTAAAGTCAGACTTTTAAACAGGAACCTTCCCAAATTTGCGCACATTCGAATTATTGTGTAATAAATCGTCATGAATATAAACAGTGAAACAGTTCTAATAACTCACACGAAGAAATATTCCAAGAACACAAAGGCCTTCAGGATCTTCTAGCGCCTCACTTTGTGCAGAGTAACGCTCTGCGAGGAATACCAAATGCATCTCAGCAGAATGGCTGCAGCCATCTACCTGGTGTTCCGAACCCCATTTGTTTTCGTGTCCCCAGTGAAAATGAAACTGCTGCAGGATATACCCCTCTCGCAGGGGCCCACCTTCTATACAAGCAACTAATGTGACAGAAAAAATACAGCCATTTAAACAAAGCACAACAATGCGTACTATGGGCGAAAAAGGCTTTCAAATTAAAAACGTAGTCAGAAAAATTGCGCTAATGTCAAAGTACTCTAATTCTTACGGCGACTTAAAAGATGCAGGGTAATTTATGCGAGTGTTATCAATACGTTTTGCGGGCTGACATCAGTCCTTTAGTTGTGCTTTACCGATTCACTTGTCATCGCTTTGATAAATTGAAGGCACTTACCAATGATCCCCAAAAAAATAGCAAAACGGTATAGAACCTGAAACGTTTGGTCGTTGAATTAGTAAACTTCCCTATTTATACGTAACCAAAGAGGATAAGCGTGAATCCTTCATAGATTTCTACGATTTCCATCGATGAGAAAATGAAAAGCTCATCCCATAAATTGCCGAGTCTTTAAACGAAAGGTTTTGTGTACAATTAACACCACTGCTTAAAAATAACCTCTCGAAACGACTCTCTCACACTTGTTACTGCATTATATCGTTTAAAGCTCTTTTATTTTATTTTACAGATAGGACTAAGTAACAATGAAAACTGAAAGTTTACAGGAGGTCCCATACTAGCACAACTGGAGAAGCATATAAGGTGCTTTCTGGCAAATACTACAACTCTATTATTCATGATCTGATTGTATTGCCATACATTGACGAAGAAAAGGCTCAGAGAGGGCATGTTCCTTTTCGGCAGCTCCACTGATTCAAACAGCACATTTTCGTTATTTTCACCGTTTACATTTAGTGAAGACAATTTGCACCGTGTGCTGGAACTTTTCTAATGCACACAGCAGTCTGGACGATAATCCAGTTATTAATAGTTCTCAGTCCATGTGCTAAAGAAGATTGAGTTTATACAAAACAAATAATCAACGGTTGTACGAAACGCTTATACCCTCTTCAAATGCATTGTTTTCGTCTCTTTAGAAATAACGCACAGTACCAACTTTCAATCGGTCTCGGTGATACCATTTCCCGATTTTTAGATCTATCTTATCTTAAATGGTAAAAATTTATGTGGTGTTGAGTGATTTTGCAACCCTAAGATTTTAACTTTCTGCATTTTGCCCTGACGGCGCACCTTGTAGGAGTGCGTGGACAGGGCATTGGGTTTTCAGAGAATACGTCTCCGTTTTGTATGCAAAAACAAATTTTGTTGTGTGTTGTTAGGAATGTAAAACCAACATCTCGATGCTATTTAAGTAGTGATGAGGAGAGTTAAAAATAAGTCGTATAAGCATGTCACTATTAGAAACGTTTATCGCAGTCTGTCGGAATGAATTTCTATCTATTATGCAGTCGACTCATTTTATAATTATAAAATGAGTCGACTTTAGTCGGTTTAGTTAACTAAACCACATTCTAATGACTATGAGTGAGTATACAGAAAACAAAGATTACAAAACATATCGATAGTTTGCAGAGTCTA